ACTCCTGAGGACTATGTCAACCAACAAATACGCGACTGTGATTTGTCTCCAGATTCAGGCAATGGTTCTTCCTATTTCTGGATTTATACCAAAATCAGCCGTGTTTGTCGAGAACAGCGCCTTATTCTTGAGAATCATACAGACCTTCACGCACTCACGCATGCGTTCAAAGTCCTGCCGTCAGAATTTGAATTCAGCCTCGGTTTCAGTGATAGCATTGACGACTTGTTGCACCAGTGGCAAGTTCCGGCTTTAGAAATGAGAGAAAATACATTTAAGCACCATGCCCTGGTTGTTACACGGGCTTTGTCAAATGCTAAGGATTCGAGACTGCATCCAATCACCCTCCGCCTTTCAAACTTCTCTCTATTCTGGGGACATGAATGGAATTGCTTGAATACCAGGATGCTCGCAACACCTCTTCAACAGTTGTTTTGCCATATGAAAGAGGTAATTCTGGAAGGTGACTATCGTTATTTCCCCCTGGAAGCAATTTCTAGCGCAACACCAAGCTTGCGCCAGCTAATATTTTGCTGTATCACAGTCAGTCATGTTGCATTGGGCACTTTCTTAGACACTAATCGTCTAACACTTCGTTGTATCGGGTTCTGTAATGTCCAGCTAGTTGGTGAAAGTGGCATCATAGGCCCGTATGAGCTGTCCACATTCTTGGACTTGTTAAGACCTGGGATACCCAAAGCGCACTGCTGCGGAAGAAATCAACGTATGTTATGGTTACTGTAATTTACAGTGCTAGTGGCAAGTTGAGTTGTATGCAAACAAAGCCGGATTTTCAGTGGTTTCTCTAATCACAATAGTTGAATGAAATAACAATCATCGACTTCAAATTCAGTACCAAGCTCAATCATTTTGAAAGAATTGTGGTTCATATTATATGAGGCATGCTGTATCATCAGATAAATGTTCGCTGGATCAATAATTAAAATAAAAGCAGAGAAAATCAACACAAATGTGCCTAACTATAAGTCCAAAGTGGCGGCTTGGAAATCTTGAACAGGCGTTGTCGACCTTTTGAGAGGCTCTGCAACCTTCCAGCCCCTGGCTTTCCTGCAAGATTGTTGCCAAAATCAGCTGGTGTCACTTTCTTGGTGATTGGATAATGCTCATCCTGACTTGAGTTAGTACATAATTTCTATACAGGATCTTAAGGTCTCTTACAACTTCGTCTTGAGATGGAACCCAGGATTCTCGAGGATGAGAGTTGAAGGACGTATATTTCCCCTTCCCTTGTCGACTTTTTCGTACATCATAAATGACCATGTAGACACGGCGATCACGCCCATTTTCGATCCCATCTAGATAGAGATCATTTGCCTTTTTGCACATCGCCGCCCAGCCTCGGCGAAATCTCTCTCGCTCAGCTTTGGTGTTCTTGACCGGGTCCACATCATGAGTTCGTGACAAGCGCTTTTTTCTCCAAACTTCGTAAGGCATGGTCTCGGCTTTGCGTGAAGAGTGGCTTATCGCAGTTAGAGATCATAAATAATTCCATGATCTGGCCCCATGATCATGGACAGACTGCAGGTATTTATTACTCGTGATGAAAAGTCTTACACCATGGTCTCGTGTTTTATTTTAAGGGCGGCGTTTCGCGGATGCTATTTTTAAATGATGGCTTGAAACAAGCATCGGCGGCAATTTGAAAATCGTGGTATATTGTTGATCAAAAGTATAAGAATGCACTTGCTGCTAAATCGAACAGTCCAGAGTCATTATACCAGATTTCTTCCAACCATGAATGTACTGATGATCTACACTTATTTCCTATCGGGCGCGATTGGACTCCTGTTCTTGCATCATTTTATCTTATTCATACTCAAATTCTTATTGAACCCAGCTCTTTTCTATCTACTTACTAGGTATATTGTGCTGCCGTACATTGTACGGAGAAGCTTGTTTTGGTCTCCTATTAGTCGGGGCGCGGCCTTTATACATATTTTGCATTGGAGTGGTACCTTGATTTGCAATATCCTTGGCGTCAACAGCGCTGGTGCAGCTCGGTCTCGGGCTGGCTCCCTGGCATTACTACATTTAGTACCCGCACTCTGGACTCCGCAACTTAGCTTTGGCGCGCATTTTTTCAACCTATCGCTGTCAGCCTACAATAGGTTTCATCGTGCTTTCGGTTGGATGGCTCTTATCCAATGCGGAGTGCATATTATTTTTGCCGTGCGTACATACTCCTTCGACCTAGCCGAGGCATCTCACCGGAACGGTTTTATAGTTCAGTATTGTATCCAGATTCCAAACAAGAAGTTGACTAATTCTATGCAGGCTGCAATTACTCTGAGCTCAGCAACTTTGTTTTTTCTTCCCTTGATCCGCCAGTGGGCGTACGAAATATTTCTTAAAGGTCATAATTTTCTTAGTATCATGGCATCGGTCATGATTTGGTTGCATCTGGAGGAAAAGAAAGGCTTCGATGCATTCTGTCTATACTTTGCACTGGGAATTTCCGTGCTTACATATATTGTATACTTCCTACGACAGTTTTACTACAACTTGGTCGCTGGTCGGCCAGTAGCCGCTGCGGACCTTATCAAATATCAGGATGCGGTGAAACTAACTCTAACATTGGCACGGCCTTGGAAGGTACGGGGAGGTCAATATGTCTATATGACCATACCGGCAGTGAGAGCATTATCATTCGCCGAATCGCATCCTTTCAGTATCGTTTGGTGGGAGGAGGGCCCTAATGGTGAAGCAATAACTCTATCCGTTCTTGCCAAGATTGAGTCAGGTTTTACTCGAGCCTTAGCATCCTCTAGCCATGAGCACCTTCGCGTGTGGATAGATGGACCTTATGGCCAATGTATTGATACTAAACAATATGACAGTGTTATCCTAATAGCAACAGGAATAGGTGTTGCAGCACAGCTACCATACGCCAAAGAGCTTCTTAGCCGGCAATTGAAAGTGGAGAGCGAGCATTTGAAAGGACTCACAACCCCTAAACGCATCTCTATTGTTTGGGAGCTTGAAGAAGAGAGTAGGACTTCTATCCATTATCTGGAATACCACTAAATTATACAGGTCATGAAGATTGGATCTACCAATGGATGGATCAGCTTCTTAGTGACGACTCAAAAACATTGGTATGATTTGGGCTTCTATTACTAATTCTACCACTGACAGATGACTTAGGTACTTCACTATACCCTATATATTCTTCGTCGAGCCGACGAAAGCCATGGTGATGGTCAGAGAGTCAAATTAGGACGTCGAGGGGCAGCATTCTATGGTAAACCCGACTTTAGAGGCATCATGGACAAAGAACTGTCTGAATCTCTCGGCAAGGCATTAGTAATCAGTTTGTTTTGCCCGTCCCCTTGAAAGCAATTGATAATAAAGTAATAACATGGCCCTAGTTTCTTCCGACTCGAAGACACGTGACGAAGTTCGAGACTTGGTCTTGGATTCCGCTCAACGAGTTGATTTGCATGAGCATGATTTCCAGCCTGAGAAAAATGGGCGATTATGGGCCTCTAGAAAAGAGACAAAATATGCAGGGGTGGTCTGAAGCAGTCAAGGGCTGTAGGCAATGAGGAAGCAACATAAGGAATGCAGAGATTGTTTCTTGTGTTCTTGATGGTACAAATACTATATCGTTTTGTGCTAAATCTATGCTCCAATATACTACCCTAGTGATAGAGAGTCAAACTTATGATATAACTAAAAGATCTCATACATTAATTATCTGCAATTAGGCTGAAGCTGTTACGAACATAGTAACTAGCTAGTCATCTACTCCAGTGTTCATCGGGATAGCATTGCTCGCAGCCCGGCTCTGGATTCGGGAGTAAATATATCGCTTCTGAAAACATAGAAAATCAATAAAAATAGAACATGATAACCAAACAGAGCGAGAGAACAGATACAATGGGGACGGTTGTAAAACTAGAAGATGAAGAGACAGTTTGACGTTTGATAGAGCCCACACTACTGCTACTCATACTGGGAGAGTGAATCTTCCACGATGAAGGACAGATAGTCACATAATTTGTCGAGGTCACCACACTTGTAGAGATGGCAATGGCCTGAAAGATACTGGTAACTGCGGGAAACGAGGTGCTCGCACTTGCAGGAATAATTTTAGCAGTAGATCTATCATTAAGCTTAGTACAACATAAAGTCGCAAGGTTGAGGTAGCTCATTAGCTCATACTTGCTTATTTGCATATCATTCATGCTGGTTTGAGTCATATCAGTAGCATACTGGTAGAATCGTGCATTCATTAGGAAAGTATCCATCTCGTTTCCAGGGTTAAGAGCGAAAACCATTCCCTCATGGCAGTGGGAAATGGGCTGACTCTGATCGCAGAAAAACCATTGCGGGTCGAGTGTGTTGACAGTCATAGTCAGAGCCAGATGTTTCACATTATCAGGATTATATTGATTAAATCCTGTGTTGAACTTTGAGGCTGAAGAACATGGCCTTTCCAAAGTTGACTGAGTTAAAGTGTGATTTAGAGAACAGAAATTAAATGTGACCTGATCACCAATGTTCGCATTAATCCTGTTAGGATGAAATATAAGTGAGTTGTGACAGCCGACTGCAACATAGTGTGTGTTTCTATTTGTCTGTTCAAGATCAATGTCTATAATCTCTTTAAATCTTTAGTCTGTATTAGTCAACTGTCCTAGTCAGAGATTCAATGAGTCTTACTGAAAAGCACCTGCGTTAAGCACGCAAGATAGAACCAAGATAGAATAGTGTAGCATATTCATCTGAAGTATGCCACTAAAACTCAGTGTGATACAGGTAACACAGGATACAAGTTGAAAGGTGGGGCACAAGATATAGGAATATTTTACCATGGTTCATGCATAAGACCATGGACAAATAGCATGGTTGATAAAAACCATGGAAAATAAACTATATAAAGGTGCCTGAACGTAGAGTAGGTATTCGAAAATCCAGTTTTAGTCTCTCTCATAATAATAATTCTATTGTTTGTCTGATTGACATCCTCAAAGAAAATGGAGTCTCAAAATCCTTTGCCTATTAATGAACCGCCCAAAGGTGAAACAACTTCCGGCACAGCCGACAATAAGGATGATTATGAGAATCCTGTCAATCTCAGCAAAGATAATATTGTTGATATCATGAAAGCGATAGTAGAATCCGATCAACAAAATATAACACTTGCAATTGAGAAAGCCTTGCCTGATGGGGCTGATGTTGATGCCAAGCAATTGCGAGAGAAGATTCATCCAGATAAGCATATCCTCAATGATGAACATAGGAAATTAGCTACCGAGGCTTCTCAGCGTGAGTTTGATGATAGAAGTTCAAAGGCTCTAGGCTAATAAAACTCAGGACTAAATGAGGCTATACAACGGGCCGAAGGTGGCGATATCAGATTTCGCTTCGGGGGAGGGGGACTTAAGCCCGAATCTAGCGATCTAACCCAAAAGAGCTATCATATCTCAGCTTATAGAAAAGCTTATAACAGTTTACTCATTCTATGTCAGGCCGCATGTCTAAATCCAGACATTCAGATTTCCAAGCCTTCCCCCGAACCGGGATACCGCCTTCCTAGAGCAGGAATAGAAGCATACAACGATCTGAAAGAGATCAATAACGAGATTATGAAACAAAATAGAAACAACAATTTTGAGGCGAATACCGGCCTTATCGACGTTCCGGGTCTTGTTGCAAAGTGGAAAGCCATACATATTGCGTACACGAACTCCAGGTATCCAATGAAGGTTATGCAAAGCAACTTAGACATGTTTATTGATAATAATCAATACCCCTCCGAATGGAAAAAGCTATACTCTAAATCCTGGCAGCATTTTGGGGAGTTTCAGGCTCTCTGGAATACCCTGCCGAAGCTAGTGGGTGAATATTTTACAAACTCGTTATCAGCTACGCCTCCAAGCTCGAAAAGATTCTGCGCTCGTATCGAGAAGATTCTTGACTCCAAATCAAATAAGCTGGATAAGAAATACAAACGCGGTACAAGCCTATTTTCAATGACTTTTGACATCAAGGAGTACATTAATATATTTGACGAAGTTATCAATGCCTTTCGGAAGGGAGATCTTCAGACTTACATCGCTAAGCGAGAAGAGATACAGGTTATGGTCAAAGAAAAGGCTTACCCAGTGGGACTGGTACCCCCAAGCCCGGAACAAGCACAAAATTGGCAACCTTCCAGCAACGTTTCTGGAATGGGAGATCATAGCAATCCTATAATAAATTCCGGCTTTGCTCCAAACCAAGCAGGCAATCCGAGTCAGGTGGTACGGGGCAACAACGGAGCTTTCTCAATCAAAGCTCGCGTTGTGGGTGGGTCTTTCAAACCGGGCTATACATCGCTTGGTGAAAGAATACGCTTTATACAGCGTCGAGGTGCCTATTGCGCCAACTTTGTTGTAGAAGATGATAATCAAATGTGGCGACTTGTTGATAGCGGGTACCACGGTGGGAGATCTGCTGTAGAACAGGCAGAGCGATTAGGCGTGCCAAGTGTGGTGCAGGATGTGATCGAGATCAGAAATCTGAGAGATAGAGTCGCGGAAGGTGGCGACTGGGGAATCTTCTTTGCTGCTGCTGGCAAACTGCCCATCAACTCCATAAAGCCAAGGTTACCGGACATTGTGGTGGGCTTTTATCACATTGACCCAGCAAAGGGCGAAATACGCAATGCAGTTTCTCGATCCAATCTGGGCCAGATTCTTCGGTCCAAATCCACGGCAGACAAGTTGATAGCCGAACTAATCTCAGGAATTAGTGATCTGAGATTACAGGATGTCTTGATGCCTCAGCAAATTCCTTCCCTCCTACTGCCGCCTCATACTAGTCAAACACATCAATTTAACCCCATAAACAATTATATTCAAGGAATCGGACACGGGGCTTTCAAGAACAATATGCTTAATGGCCTTGGACAACCATACATAGGTATGGGAGAGCTGTCTAGAGCAGAGCAGTCTTCCTTCTTCAATGGGGGAAGAGAGACACAAATGATGTCGGTTCAGCAGCACAACCAGATTCTTCAGTCAGCTATCCAAGAGCTAATGCACCAGCAGCAGAAGAGCGCAGTGTACAGAGAAGAAGAGGAGGAGGAGGAAGACCAGGAGGAGGAGGAGGAGGAGGAATTATAGCTTTTACGGATTCATGCTTTCTTCAAGTGTACTTACCTATCGATAATCAAATTGAAACTGCGTTATATTGGGCAAACTTCAAGAAAGACCCATTGCTTCAAAAACTCTTTAAGCCATATATCAGCTTATTAGTATTGATTTAGAAAGTGTTTCTCATAGAGCCTAACAATAATACTTTTGCCATCTCTTTGGAAACCGGATTACTTGTTGATTGGTTATCATTGACTCCACGAAATGGCCAGTGAATGCTACGGTCCTGCTATTAAAAGATCAAACTCCACGGTGTTTCGAGAAACCATGGTTCTAACATCTTATATCTTAATCATATTTCCAGTATTCTGCTTGGATTAACAGTAATAAGTTGTGTGAAGATCCAAAATGGAGAGCCTTCTTGAAGAATGGGAGACCCGCATCGATGGGACAGTTCTTTTAGGTCTGCATCATTCTATGAAGATTGATCCAAAAGCTAACTATTTACAGACTCTCCTGTCTCATCTGAGCCCAGTTCACCAAGAGAAATAGACTTCGACCCTGCAAAGGAAAATAAATCTGATAGACCTAAAAATATGCCCGAGTCACCCGGAAATGGCTGCTCTATCCAAACTGCCTCATTCGGTCAAAATCACTTTGACAGATTACGACGCAAAACTTCTTATGCACGTCGTCCAACTCTATCTTCAATGCCTTCTCAAATGTCTTATCTCGATAATCAGTTAAGCCAGTCTAGCTCTGGCTTTCATTCTGGCTATCCTTATATTAGTCCACTTGTTCCGTCCAAGTCGATATTTGGTCAGTCTTTTCCATTAGAGAGCTCATATTATCAGTCTGGTCATCCTGCTTTTGGTCGGCCTGCTTTTGAAAACCCAGCTGCCAGTCAGTCTAGCCAGGCTTTCGGTCAGCCTGCTTTCGGTCAGCCTGCTTTTAGAAACCCAGCTACTAGTCAGTCTAGCCAGGCTTTCGGTCAGCC